TTCATTCGAAATATTGATGTAAAATAATGCGCATATTTCGTCAAGAGATTTCTACTAAAGTTACTTCTCCATTCTTTCATTTATTTATTAAATTACCAGGAAGTAAGTCTATAGCTATTTATAAAATAATATACATATTTAATTGTTAATCCTTTTTTGTCCTTTAACTTACATGTTAAATTACTAGGGAGTGAGTATACAGTTCATTTAAAATATTGATGCAAAATAATGTACACATCTTATCGTCAATAGAATTCTCTACTACATAAATTTACTTTAATATTCTTTCATTAATGGTTAAATCACCAGAGCGTAAGTATATAGTTTCGTACAATAATCAATATAATTTTTTATTTTAAATATTATTTTCCTGTTCTTTTACTTATGTGTAAATCTATTTAGACTACTTAACTACAAGAACTGGTTTAAAAGCGTTGTTAAAGAATACGGATTAAATGAAATACCTTATAATAGTTTGAAAAATAAGAGAAAATTAGGACGTGGGGGCTTTGGAATAATATATGGGGCAGAGTCCATTTCACTAGGTCATGTAGCCATTAAGGAAGTAGAATCAGAAACAGACGAAAAGGCTCAAAAGCTTTTTATAAATGAGGTATGTATCATATAAGTATCTATTCAAGATTATTACAGTATTTATCGGCTTTCTAAAGTATAATGGTATTTTTAGCTAAAACAACACAGTAGATCTAATCATGATCGAATTATTAAATTTTATGGGATTAGTCTCAGTATGTTATTTACAATTGTACATTACCATGTTTTCTGCAAACTACGAATCTTGATTCAAAATTTTTATAATAGACGAGGCAGAGAAAACACATTATCTTGTAATGGAATATGCAGATAATGGAACTTTACGAGAATACCTACAAAATAATAAATTAGAATGGCCGGAAAAAATCCGATTAGCGAGCCAAGTAGCTGAAGGAATGTCTTATCTTCATGAAATGGATATCACACATCGTGATTTGGTAAAGCATTTAATTTTAATTACCACAACTGAAATATTAAATATTTACAAGCACATTTTCTGTAATTTAGCACACTTTGAACATTCTTGTCCATAAAAAAGACATTAAAATTTCAGATTTTGGGTTTTCGAAAAAACTCAACACTCTAGCTACGTCTATAATGAGTAAAGGGGTTGTTGGAGCGATACCTTTTGTTGATCCTCAAATACTTAAAAATTCGAAATATTCGTATGATAAAAAATCAGATGTATATAGTACTGGCGTACTTTTGTGGGAGATTTCCAGCAATGGACGCGCCCCATTCAACCAAATAGATTCTCT